TGTTTTTTTTTTTTGTTCATCATATTAACATAATGGTTTTGTTAGTAATTTTTATACCAAACAAGTTTTTATTAATTTTTTTTCCTTTTTATTAAAGAAAACATATATTTACTACTTTTTAACTTTTTTTATTTCATTTTAGCCAAAAACAATTTCTTAATTTGTTTTTTTCATTTCATTAAAATAATGATTTTGTTATTAATTTAAATTTTTTGAACTTAATTTGTAGACGACATATTTTTATTAATTTACTTTCTCATTTTAAAACAATTTGAAGGCTATGTTATTAATTTTAATTTCTTTTTATTAATTATTTTTTTGTTCATGTTAACATAATGGTTTTGTTATTTTCAGATATTATACCAAACAAGTTTTTATTAATTCTTTTTTGGGGTGTCCTAAATAAGTCCACTTTTTGATTTTTTGGACTAAAAAGTTAAGGGAAAAAATATGGTTATTTGGGATAACTTTTTGACTTTTTACGAAAAAATGTGTATTAAAAAATTGTATAAATTAGTGTATAGGAGAAGATTGGATGGAATAGGTGGTACGGTAGGCTGAATGCAGGGACAGCGTTGGTAGAGTAGAGGTTGGGAGATGTTTCCCTGCTTTTCGAACATTGAATTGGAGGTGCTATACGATCGTGGGGACCCACCACGAGTCCCGTTTTGCTAATCAAAATCGTCAAGCTGTAGAACTCGTCAAGTACTATGTTCTTGTAAAAAATCACGTTGATCGAATATCGATGGCTATCTGATCGGATTAGTTTGTTTTCAACCGTTAATTATAACACCATCCATTTTATAAATTTTAACTGATTTGATCATATAGTTATCGATATCTGATCAACGTGATTTTCACTGGCATATAGTACTCGACAATTTCTACACATTGAACGGTTCAGATTATTAAAACGAGATCCATGATGGGTCCCCACGGGCCGAACAACACTAAGTTATTAGTGCACCTAAATAGAAGCTCGTTTCAAAAAAGTGAGCTCTGCCTGTCCCACATCAGAGTTGTTTGAAAATTTGTTTTGTGTAAAATTATTTTTTTCATATTTTTTTTTTTTTTGGTGAATAGTGATATCTTTTTAACTTTTTGAGTAACTTTTTGACTTTTTGTCTTTTTTAAGGCTATACAGCATTTGCTTGTCTAATTAGTGTACGATGTTTGAATAAGAAGAAACTCACATTTCCTAATTAAAAAACGTTTCTACATAATTTTAATATGTAATATATTATATGTGTGTTCAGGACATTAAAATAATGGTTTTGTTATTAATTTAAATTTTTTATAATTAATTTGTTGACGAGATATTTTTATTAATTTACTTTTCTCATTTCCAAACAATTTGAAAGTTTTGTTATTAAATTTAATTTCTTTTTATTAATTGTTTTTTTGTTTTGTTCATGTTAACATAATGGTTTTGTTATTTTCAAATATTATACCAAATAAGTTTTTATTAATTTTTATTTCCTTTTTATTAAAAAAAAGTATAATTATTAATTTTTAACTTGTTTTATTTCATTTGAGCAGATTATTTTTTTTAATTTGTTTTTTTCATTTCATTAAAATAATGGTTTTGTTATTAATTTAAATTTTTTTATTAATTCGTAGACTTTTTTCATTTTATTAAAATGAAAGCTTTGTTACACATTTATTAATTTCCTTTTATTAATTTTTGTACGAATTTCTTTTTTAATTTCATAATATAACTCACAAATTGTTATAACATTGTCACTGGTTAATTTTACAGTGCAGAAAAGAAATTGACTATTCATTACGTCAATACAAAAGATTACAACAAAATAAAATAACCACAACAAAATGAGAAAACAAAATAAGAAAACAAAATGTAACCACAACATGTGTGAACCATTTAAACGCTCATCGAAACAAGTTAAGCATCATTATCAGGTGGTGGTAGAGGTGGAGGGAAGTAGTGATGGTACACCTGTGTGACTCGATGGTCAATTTGATCAATGCGGTTCCTTGTCACTTCATCATGTCTCCCCAAGTCTACGCGAAACTCACCAAATTGTTGAATTAGTAAGTTCTGAGCGGCGACAAATTCATCGAACCGAGTACTCAATGTATTGACCTGATTATCCATTTGTTGTTTCCATTGTAGGCGCTAATTGTACCGTTCTTGTTCCAACGCTAAATAATCAGTCCAATATTGGGGTTGTTCATTTGATGGCATGGCATTGTTATTGGGTTCTTCCTCATCAGGTATTGGTTCATTTTCAAAATTAATAGAGCCCAGTAAGTTTTCAGCACCACTAACTCGGGTCAGTGTGTACTCAGAAATTGGTGAAGTGATTCTCACATCTACTTCACCTTCAAGGTTGACATTATGCGCTTTGAAAATTTTGATTAACAAAGTCTAAGGCTAAATAATCAGTCCAGTAATAGGGTTGTTCATTTGGTGGCATGGCATTGTCATTGGGTTCTTCCTCATCAGGTATTGGTTCATTTTCAAAATTAATAGAGCCCAGTAAGTTTTCAGCACCACCAACTCGGGTCAGTGTGTACTCAGAAATTGGTAAAGTGATTCTCACATCTACTTCACCTTCAAGGTTAACATTATGCGCTTTTAAAATTTTGATTAACAAAGCTCCAAAAGGTAGTAACCGGCCACTGAGAGTACTAAGTTTTGCAACCATCATTTCTCTCAGTAATATGTAACATAAATCTAATTTTTATCCAATTTCAAAACAATATAACAAATAAACATTAAAACATGGAACAATATCAAAATGTCCTTTTTTGGGAGTGACATTTTCAACTATCCATCGATGAAGAATACGAAGGTGGGGTTTTCAATGTCTTGCTTGTAAATTAGTGCCGGTGAATCGGCTCTCACAAATTGTGGTATAAATCTCAGTTAGATCACCAACAATGTTAGCTAACTGAGTCTCAATTTGAAAATAACATTGCAAATCTTCCGTTTCAACTCCAATAATTTGTGCGAAAGTGCGAGGGTTGAGGGTGATTACTTCCCCCTTGACATAAGAGGTCAGACTGAACGGTTCCACTTGTTCCTCAGCAAATGTCAAGTGAAGGTAAAATAAATATACAAGACGGGGATATACCTTATGTGGTAAATTAGTTAAAGGTAACCATTCCATCGTATTCGGTCTTCCAAGCAACAGTGGATCATATTGAAAAGGTAACTTTACCTTTCTCCCCGTAACAATTGGTCGATTAGCAAAATTTGAATAAGTTTTTTCGTGATGATATGTGAGAAAATCAACAGTTGGATAACGATGATGTTGTTGCTGTGGTTGACGTTGTACAGGGTTAGAGGTTTCGCCACGTTCGGGTCTCGTTCTTTTTATTCTCGGCATGATGACTACAAAAGTTAAGAGAAATATATGAAAAATGTATAGTAAAATGTATAATGTTGGTGTGAAAAAAAAGGAACAGATAGGCAAACTGAGCCTCTTAACCAACAGATAGCGAAACTGAACGCAGAATGCGAACTGTGGCTGAAATCAGATGACCGGCCGGTTGTCCCGTATGGTGATTCTTCGCTTCCTGCAACTCAGCTCTGAAACTATCAAGAATATGAAATATAACTCAGCTCTGAAACTATCAAGAATATGAATTGTGCTTCAAACTAACCTCTTCTCTCTTCCTTCACACTTCACATGGATATCTACACTGAATATAGTTAATATTGTGGGGTAAAGGAGTTGCTGAAGTTGTTGGAATAAGATGTTGAAGATGGTATGGTTAAATGAATGCATAGGTAATGACTTATATAAAGGCTCAGGTTCAGAAGGTCCAGAAGATTTTTTTTTTTTTTTATTTACTTTTCATTTCTTACTGAATATTTTTTTTTGTTTTCCTTACTTGAATTTAATTTCTGCCGTATATATGTGTGCAGGTTTTTGGCTTCTTCTTCATTTTCCTTTAATTTCTGTCGTATATATGTGCGCAGAATTTTGGCTTCTTCTTTCTTTTCCTTTATCGCACTGAGTGATGAACTGAATGAATTGACATGCTGTGGGTCTATTGATGAACGAAATTATAGTATTACCCTTTTTTGTTTTGTTCTTACATAACAACCTGCTATTGAAGTCAAGATGGGCGAATTGGTCATTTTGTACACAAATATCACTCTTGCCCCCAATTATACGACATTCGCAAGTGGGTGAGAATCAGACGACAATAATGCACCAACGAAAAAAAACGATTTTTTTATTAGATTAATAAAATTTAATAAATGAAAAAATATTGATAATGTTTGATAACGTTTACGTTTTGATTTGTATTTAAAAATATTGACCACACTTATTTTTGTTAATTTTTATCACTATGTAATCTCCAAAGTTGTTGGCTTCAACAAAATTTTTGAAACATATTAAAAACATATTGTACAAAATATTTGTACAGGTCGTAAAAATGAAATGATAGAAAAATTAATTGACACAAAATAATTGACATAAAAGTTATTTTTAAAAAAAAAATATTTGAAAAAACAATTGCTTAAAAACAATTAATTGAAAAAAATATATTTTTTTATTTGAATATTTTAAAAATAATTTGATTATAACTACTGATCAAAAATTCGAATATCGATATATGAATTGTATGTTTGATTATCACCTATAGGTTGAATTAAGTTTTGAAAACTATCACCAAACAAATTTTCCTACGTCGCATGTCACATAAAACTTTCAAAACTCAATTCCACATACAATTCAAAACTCAATTCAACACTCTATTCAAAAACCATAACTAAACAAATTTTCTACGCTCAAATCATAATTTCACAACTCACAAACTCAAAATACAACTCATACTCTCAAATCATATTTACAAAACTCTATCAATCACAACCTAGGATTTTCTCTCCCACTTTTGGTAATTGTATTCCAAATTCCGGTGTACCAAAAGATGAGAGAGAGAGAGAGAGAGAAAATCAGACAACATAAGAGTAGGCCGTGTCGATGTAGTAGAAATAATGAAAAATTAGAAACACAGAACCATAACAAAAAAAAAAGGGGTTTTTCCAAATGCATAACAAAGTCATGCAACCACTGCATACTCAAAAGTCAAACCACAATAGACAACAATAATATCGTGCAGAAGTTCGTGCAATTGATACGAATTTTGGATCTGTTCCAGAAAAATGTGCATGCAGAAATACAGTTACAAGTGTATCATTCATTTCGCTAAAAATCAGCAGCACCCGTTCTCACCTCGTAGAATTATGAGCCTTGCATCAAGTGATTAACAGTATAGCTCAAGAACTTACCACATCGTTGAACCTAACCGAAATACGAAGCAAAGAAGCCGAATTGACAACACCACGATCCAACAACTAGTTGGGAATTACTTAGCTCCTCAAATTACATTTGGTCCTCAGTGAAGTTAACAGAAAGATCCCAATAGTGACCAACCCCAGCATCAGAAAAGATTTTACGGGCAGCTGCTTCAGTCCTGCACTCGTGAACAGAAAACCTATTGAAGCTGGGCTTAGCAACGCTCCCTTGCCAGACTAACATGCACTTGTTGACGGGTTTTTCCTCATCTTCATCACCATCTTCATCCTCAATTTTCACAGCAGAAGCCCAGTCTATACGCTTCAGCATAAGCTTTCCATACCTTTTAATGGATTTGTTCCCACCTTCAACAACCACAACGCTTATGCTGTCAGAAATTACAGCACAACCCATCAACCGGTTCTCCTGGGCATTAACATCAACCTTGAAGCGGGTCTGTGGGTGTGAAAGGTCATTGATCTTGTATACTGAAACTATAGTCTCAAGAGTGCTCGGGTCATCAAAAAGCTTCCTCTCTTTCTTTTCACGACGTTCATCAGGAGTGAGCTTGCGTGCAATGTTCCTATCGATGTGAGCTTGTTCACGCTCGGCAGCTGCACTCCGGATTTCCATTTCAAGCCTGGTGGGATCTTGAGTTGCTTCGGAGCCAAGAACCTTCATGAGATTGCTCATTTTAACTTTCGGTTTTGGGGGTTCTAACAAGCCTTGCCGAATCATCTCCTGCCTATCCATTTCCCTAGCCAGACGCCGCTGTTTTCGGAGTTTCTTCTGCTCCTTCTTGGTTAGTTTCAGGGGTTGAGGTGGTGGTGCCGCTGGTTCGGCAGGGGGCTCAATAGGACGAGGGTGTTGCACATAGATAGTTATGTTCTCCATCCTCAGTTTATCTTCAGCTATGTTACCATCAGTGATGTCGCCATAAGTACCAGAATGCAAAAGAGGTTGATCCCTAACAAATTAAGCAAGCAAAATAGCAAAGCATCATTTACAAATATTGCAGCAACTAACATTAACAAAAGATGTGAAACAAGGAAAAATCAAAAAAATGGAAATGCCAATTCCCCTTCCGTAACATTAGTTTAAAAACAAAATCTCCTTGATCCTGAAGCAAAATTTCCCTTATTTCCAGTACCTAAATAAAAGTACATTAAAACTTCGAAGTAAAACCACATGCATCTTCAATCCAAATTACAGAAAGTGTTTAAAGCCATTAAATAAATCTTTTGGACTGCTGCTTCTGGCCTTATTAACCAGGAGGAGAAAATATATATATAGCTTCATCCCTAGATCCAACTTTGCAATTTCAACCATAATCTACCAATAGAGAAGTTTGTGCCGAGTTAACGCCATCCACACACCACAAGAAGGGTGAAAAAAGAGAGAGAGAGAGAGAGAGCTTACCACCACTCGATTTCAGGAATCAGTTCCTTCGGTTTTTCTTTGATTATTACTCTCTCTGATACCTCTATCAGGTTTGGATTTATATCAGGCTCTGCTTTTGCCTTCGCCAGTTGAGCCTGCTTTGCCTTCAGCTCTTTGGCTTGTGCTTCTCCAAATTGACTCTGGCATTTATTGGCAACAACAACAATCAAAGCCATAAAATTCAAAGACAAAAATAAAGAGAACAAAAGGCAACACTAAATACCTTCAGTTTAATAATCTCCGCATCTTTTGACCATTTGCCTTCCTCTACAAACTGAAAACTCATCCTCTTAGGCCTCAAAAGCTTTTTTGAATCAATACCCATTCTTGCATCAAAATGGGGATTTTTTTCTGGGTCTACATCCAATTCAGGTTTAAGAATTTGAAATGCATCTTTCTTTTGCTTGTTAATGTTCACCTGGAGAATTTGTTTCAAGATCAGAAGCAAGAACCAAAAATAGCATCAAAACAAAACAGATGAGAGTGAGCATAGAAATAAGGAACAGACCTTAAGGGTGCTCAGGTTGGTTACTTTAGTTGTGCTCACCACATTTCCATGCTCATCTATTTCCCTACCTAGCGCATCCAAACGAAGAACAGGGGCCTTGGCAGGCTTTGATTGGAAGGTAACCTCTGGTGGCATCTGTCCTGGAAACATGTTTATAAGAGGAGCAAACTGTGGATCTTGCCGAAATCCCATCTTGGCAGCAAGCTCTTGTGCACGTTTCACAGCTTCAAAATTGGGTGCTGTAAGCCCAGCTTGAGGAACCGTCCCACTTGCAGAAGGCTGCAAAGAAGCTGCAGCAGCAGAAGGTAAAGTGGATGCACTCACAGGTGTAGGAAGTAATCCAGAACTAGAGGATGGGGCTTTAAGACCCTCCTTTGACGCTACATTCAGCATACCTTCTGAATTTGCAACCTTATTTGACTAAATGAGAAAAATGAGGTCATGTCATCAATTGCATAACGGAGGAAAATTTAAACAGGCAATGTGCAACAATGATTTGAAAATAATTAATAAACAATTAACAAAGAAAAATATAAAGGGGTTGATTGATTTCCTGATTAATAACCTACCAGTGGAAGTTTCTTCATATTCTCTTTTAGCTCCTTTTGCATTTGTAAAACTCTCTTGGCTTTTGCTAAAACATCAAGAGAGAGATTTCCACTTTTGCTAGCTGGAGCTGTCCCATCTGTACTAGATTTTCCATGAACCTCATGAGACCCGGGAATACTAACTCCCTTATTTTCATTTGGGGTAGAAATCAAAGATACCTTGGTAGGAGGGGAATGGCTAGGGGCCAAAGATGCCTCCGCTAGAGTCCTAGATGCCATAACCTGCAAGTAAGAAAAGTGAAATGCACAAATCAATGTACAAATCAGAACCCACCAATCCATTTTCCATGTCACACATACACAGTACCAAATCACTACGAAGAATTAAACATAAAGATAATCAAAAGCAACAAATATCTAGAAAAGCAAATTTAAACATAAAGATAATCAGAAGCAACAAATATCTAGAAAACTGGAACTACTTACCAAAATATATAAACATATATCTAGAACTTCGTCCTGTTCTCATGCCACAAAATTGCATTCCAATCAAATCATTCGCGAATAGTCCACATAAGTTTGACAAGTCTAGTTCTAGCTAACCATTTACAATCAACAAAGATAGCCAGAAGCTGAATATATTGATTATTAAAGAAGATCTCATACCTATACTGTTCTATTTGAAAAAGGCTAAACACCACGTAAGCTTTACCCGCTATATCATCAACAAGGTCCATAAGATTGTAACAGAAATTTTACAGAATTCATAATATCTACACTAATTAATGTGGGATAATAAACTGACAGAAATGAAGATCTCATTACATTTTTAGTAAGACAACACTACTAATGTAATTCCGCATTTTAGACAACCAATCTAAGCCACCACTGCTATATTAGCAGTCCCTCAAATATCATTTCAAGGTCCTATACAATTATCAACTGAACTTCAAAATTATCTTCAAAGAAAATTTACAAAGAAACTGTAGAGGGGCGATAGCTAATTCACAAATATCATAACCAAAACAAATATCATGGGTGAATCCCTCTGTAGATGGCTTTATGGACTTTCTAAATACTAAGAGCATCTCCAATCCTTTTGAATTTGGTGAGAAGGAATGAAAAATGAGCTTCAATCCTTTGAATCAAATCAAGGGAGAACCAAATCCTTTCATCAAATTGTAATGAATTGCAATGACTCATAGTGAACCACAATTGAATCATAAGATTCACTCAGGCTATGTTTGGGAAGTTGGGTGTATAGCCAAAAAGTCACTATAAATTGTGGCGACATTATATCTACATTCTGCTTTTCATTATTATTTTTAAGTAAAAAAAACAACTAAAATAGTCAATTCACAAAAGGGGCAATATAAAATTCAAGTGCATGAATAGAATCGTTTTACTTGAAACTCGTGTCAAATCGAGTGAATTGAGTCGTGAATCATAAAATTCTAAAAACCATGATCCCATCCTCATGCACTTCATTAGTGCATTACCAGTTTGTATCTTCTAGTTTTTTTATCATAAAAGTCAACATAGTGTAGTCTTCTACTCCTACAATACTAAATATAAGTAAATACACTGAACTGGTACAGAAACTCACATTGTCTATTGCATCACTCCGGTTTGGGGCAGCAGCAATCTGATGATTCTGATCAATATCAAACGACTCATACTTTGGTTGTTTCTTCACTATTTTCTCATCAAAATCCTCATCAACATTAACATCTGCATCTTCTTTCTTCACTCGATCCTCAAACTTCCTCCTATCTCTCTTCTCTCCCCTAGAAATCGCATTGCTGTCTCTTGCCTCATCATCCTTGACTCCATCGTCAAATCTCCTCCTCTCTCTCCTCTCTTCCCTCTCTCCCCTCTCTCCTCCGTTCAATTCCTTAGCAACGTCCTCAGCCTTATCTCCAAACCGCCTCCTCTCCTTCTTCTCTTTCCTCTCCTCCGAAACCCTAGCTTTCTTCTCGCTTCCATCGACACGATCTTCGCTGTCTCCTCTCTCCTTCCTCTTCTGCGATGTCGACGAATGCCGCCTCTCCACTGACTCCTCTCTCAAAGCCCTATCTCTACTTCCCTCTCTCTCATGCGAACTCGCCCTGTCTCTGCTTCGCTCTCGCTCTCGCTCACTCCTCGGCTCATACGATTTCTCACGCCTGTCGCGATGATCATGAGCCCTATCTCTGCTACTTTCCCTCTCATTCCTTGGCTCGTGCGATCTCTCGCGGTCTTGAGAGTACTCTCTGGATCTCCGGCTATCGTCCTTCTCGTTTCTCGATCTGTGATGATCATCGCCGCCTCGGTCTCGATGTTTTTCGTGCTTGGAGCGGTGCTTCTCGGCGGAGTGGGAGTGGTGGTGGTGGTGATCGTCATCGGCATCTCTGGATTTTAGTTTGCTGCTTCGCTGCTTGTGGTCTCGATCTCTGTGGCTTTTGCTTGAATCTCTGTATTCATCGATTGAATCTCTATCTCTCTCGCGTTCATCTCTGGCTTTTCGGCTCGATTTGCTATCCATTTTCTAGGGTTCTACTCTCTCTCTCTCTCTCTCTCTCTCTCTGCTTGATGGTTCTGGAAAAACAAGCGAAGGATGGAGAAGGATTGGGTTCGATTAGGTTTTACGATTTTATACTCTGAAATATTACAGAATCAAACGGTTCAACCGGACGGTTTAAGGAGAAAAACCGAGAACATCATCCGCTCGGGGAAACGCTAGGTGAGTTTAGAAATGGCAATTTGAACTCGGTCCGGCGGGGATTCGATCCCTCGATCTCAAATTGAGTAATTTTTTTCAAAAAATATTTCTGACGGGTTAGGAATGGTATTTAAAAATAAATTCCTGATGATATTTGGGCCGAGAACGGTACTCTCTCTCTCTCTCTCTCTCTCTCTCTGCTTGATGGTTCTGGAAAAACAAGCGAAGGATGGAGAAGGATTGGGTTCGATTAGGTTTTACGATTTTATACTCTGAAATTTTACAGAATCAAACGGTTCAACCGGACGGTTTAAGGAGAAAAACCGTGAACATCATCCGCTCGGGGAAACACTAGCTGGGTCAATTCGAACGCGGTCTGACGGAGACCCGATCCCTCGACTTCAAATTGAGTGATTTTTTTTAAAAAAATATCTCTGATGGGTCGGAAATGGTATTTAAAAATAAATTTCTGATGATATTCGGGCCAGGAATGGGGATACATTTTCTAACCCCGACTCAGCCCCGGTCCCGACTCCACCCCATTTTGCCCCAATCCTATATATATATATATATATGATATATCTGTATGCTCAGTGTTTAGTGTTTGGTTGATTAACAACATATGGCCTACCCCTCTCTCTCTCACTCACACAAACACAAGACCCAAGCCCCACTCTTTCTCTCTCTCTCTTTCTCACGCACGATCGTCGACCGCCTCCTTCACAACTGCTCCTTCCTCACCGACGCCTCCCTCACTGCCAATTTTCAAAGGATCCTCTCTCTCTCTCTCTCTCTCTCCCCTCACGGTTTGGTCGGCGGCGGCTCCTCTTCTCTTTCTCACTGGCCTTCCCCCTCACGGCGTCACGGTGGCAACTCCTCCTTCTCTCTCTCACTGGCGGCGGCTCTTCCTCTCCCGCTCACATACCTTCGTCTCTCTCTCACGGTATCTCCTTCTCTCTCTCTCTCTCTCTCTCTCTCTGTTTTTGCTTTTTTTCTTCAGATCTAGAAAATGATGAAAATGAAGATGTTGTTGATGAAGATCTATTGTTGATGAAAATGATGATTTTTTTAATTTGTTAAATCTGTTAGAGCTCAGAATTTGTTTAATTTGTTAGATGTTTTTTGAGCTCAGATCTATTAGATTTGTTGAAAATGTTGTTGTTGTTGTTGATGTTGATGAATTCTGTATTTTCTGGAACTTTTGGAACTTTTTTTTTTTTTTTTTGGGCTGGGGAATTTTCGGGGTCGGGAAAACCCGATCCCAGTTAGGGGGCAAGGCCAGGAGTGGTAATAGGTTCCCCGTCGGGGATCGGGGCCGGGGGAATTTTCACGATCGGGGATCGGGGCCGGGGGAATTTTCACGATCGGGGATCGGGAACGGGGAGTGTGATCCCCGGCTCCAGCCCTGCCCATTGTCATTCCTAGCTGGGTTTGATTTGGGGATTTGGAATGAATAAATTATATGAAATTACGTAAAATATATGTATATTTTAATTATATTTTACTTATTTTTTTATTTTTTAAATATTTTTTTAAATTTTCCAACTAAACACACTTTATGGTGTACATAGACTATCTATCTATCTATCTATTATATGAGTATTATATAGGTGAATATTAGATTTGGTGTCTAAATTTTCAAATTTTCTTCTTGTTTAGACACCAAGTTCAGTATTCACATATATAATAGTACAGAAAGATAATTAAAAAAATTGTATAATTTTAATTTTTTGAATAATAACTAAAAGAAATATCATAACTAAATACAATACAAGACATAATTAAAAAAATTATGAGTCATAACTAAAATAGCGTCATAAATAAAGAAGAAAATTAATTATAACTAAAAAAAATAACATAATTATGAGTGCATATGGTCAGGGGCGGAGGGAAGGAGGGCTCAGGGGGTCATGTGCCCCCTGAGTTTTGGAGTGTGTTTTTTTTTTTATTTATTAAGCATAAAGAAAATATTTTATATAAAAATATTATTTAGAGTAAAATGTCAATGATATTTTTAAAATTATAAAAACAATAATGATTATTTTGATTAAAAATTAAAAGACTACGATATTATTATCTATGAGAATTTTCAATATAATGGTGATCTCTATCATTATTGATATGCAAATATAATTAATTTCAATAAAAATATAGAATTTATTGAATTGTTAGTTATATTTAATATGCAGGGTTCACACTCCATGTGTTTCTTTATTATTGATTGGTAATATCACATGCCAATGATTGCGTGGTATGACTATTATATTGAATTTTTACGCATATTTTGTATAAAAAAATTACTTTATCATTATATAATTTATTTTAAAACGTTATATCCATGACTTTTTTTAATGTTGTCCATGATACACTAATTACAAAAAACATATTCACTTTGTTTGGTTTGAGTTTTCTTAAAACACTTTTTAAAAAATTCTACATTTTTGTTTTTCATTTTTTTTTTGTTTTTATTGAATTTTTTTAATATTTTAAGTAATTTTTTTAATTTTTAATTTTTTAGACACACCTAACATAAATATACTTAAAAAGTATAATTTTTGAAAAAATCTTTAAAAAAATCACTAAATACCAAAAATACAAAAAATTGATACATTTTTCGTATTTTTATGTATTTATTAATTTTTTAAAATATTTTTTCACAAATATTTTATTTTTTTTAGATACATCATGTATCTAAAAAAGTAAAAAAAAAAATGCTTAAAATTTTAAAAATATTCACTAAAAACAAAAATAAAATAAAAAATTTAATTTTCAAAAAACTCAAACCAAACACATATTGATTTTTTATTTTATTTTATTTTTATATTTCTTGAAGTCAATCGTAAAAATTCATATGAAATATTTTTAATGTTGTAATTAAGAAATGCCCCCTCTGATTTATTTTCTTGGCGTCGTCACTGCATATGGTACATCCTTTTTAAAAGGGTGTATATTAGGATTTCTCCATCAACTTGTTTGGTTTGTATTTGCAAAATAATTTTGCAAAAGAATTTTATAAAAATTTAAAATTTATTTGGTTGTATATTTTAAAAATAGTTTTAGAGTTTATAATGATTTAATTATTATCTTTAGTTGAATAGATGGATGTAAGAGAAAAAGTTGATGATTGATATGTAAGATATAAGATAATAAAAGAAAAGGGAAAAAAAAGTTATTGATGGATATGTAATAGAAAGAAAAATAATTTTAATAATTTTTTTTTTTTGTCTACAAATTTTCAACCAAGCAAAATTTAAAAAAAAATTCTCATAAATTATCTCTCAAAAGACAAACTAAACAAACTCATATTTTGCTTTTTCTTCTCCTTTTTTTTCCCTTCTTTTAAATTTGGTCAGTCCTTTCTCAAAATTTTATTTAAATTTGAATGTAAATTCTATTTAATATAAACCATAGACAAATTCAAATTTAAATATAAATTTGAAAGTTACAAAATAATTTTAAAATTTTAAGTAAATGTTTAGACATTTCTTAATTTGGGTAAAATTTCAAGTAATTTAAGTAATTTTGTCTAAATTTTAAATGTAATTGTATAAATTGAGTCAAGAGCCACAAGGTTGGGTTGGGCTATTTTGATCTAGTAGTGTTTTGGATGGGCCTCCGCCCTTATTGATTGTTGGGTTTAGCTTTAGGGTTTTCTATTTCTCCTTATTGGGCCTTGGCCGACTATTTCTGAAAGTTTCAATCGGTTGATTCGTAGACTAGTCTATTCAAAAACGCAAACCGTTAGAATATATGATAAATTTTTTAAAAACACAATAAAAATCAGAGCTGGATCGGTGAGCCATTTAAACTGATCATCGGTGGGGATGACAAAATTACCAGAGCTAACTATATTTTTTATGAGTGGTTTCGCACACAAAAAATAAATACAAAATTATATCAAATTTTTTAGAATATCAAGTTCTCATAAGGACAATGGTGAAATTAAACTAATTTAAATGTTAATTCCTAAATTAATTCTGATAAAAAGATTGAGGAATCATAAACTAGTAATAACTAAATTAAACTAAGAGATTAAACTAACACTTATAAATAAAATTGGAATTGTTGATTTTTGAAAAAAACCTAGAGTAATGAATTCACCACTAGTTACATAAATAAGGTTTCAATTTGAGACTCAATTATGTTACGGTTCAAACTAAAAAATACCTCGCAACTACAAGTTTGAAGCATTTATTAAGAAAATTAACATATTCAATGTATAGGCACGAACCACACGAGTTGTTCGCTCTAAATTAAGGTAGCAACACCACTCGTCTCTTATAATATGGATCCAAAAAAGTAAAAGATTTTGACTCAAAATTGAAAGAAGTTCGCTATGATAAGATACCTGAGGATTCTCAGCTGTTTAGCAACAGACAAAGAGGTGAAGGAGCACTCTCAGCCCTCCAACTGGTTTAGTTTGTAGTTAGGCTTAACTATGGACCTACGGTTAGCTTGTGTGTGTTAGAATCAATTACAACTCTAGTAACGGCTACGTCTCGTTTGGGAATAAATTATTTTAATAATTTTTTAATTTTTTAACTAAAATATAAGATAAAAAAAATTAGTATATCTAGAATGATTTTTTGATTTTTTACAAAAAAAAATGTGTAAAAAATAGAAAAAAAATAAAATTTTTGATTTTTGATATAAGTTATAAATTTTTTGACTTTTTTAATATTTTTTTAACTTTTAGGCTAAAACTGTTGCATGTCAAACGAGGCATAAATGTATATAAAGCTTCCCTACCTCAGTAATTCAGCAACAATGCAATAATATCTTGATCATTTTGTGCATTTCTTCACACTAATCCCAAAAATAAGCACCCAAAATAAAACAAAAAATTAAGCCAACTCATATGTAGTCAAAGTGAAATGGGAGACCATGGTATCCTCAAACTCAATAACTCATAACAAATCATAGTGTTTGGAATTCATAATGATAAAGAGAAATCACCAAAGAGGCAAAAGAAAAAAGTGATACAAGCAATCACTAACCTCATACAAAAACAAATATGCGTATACACTCTTTTGATGAGTTTACAAACTCAAGCTTATTAATCATGGAAGTCCACAACCAAGCCTGCATACAAACTATATTTTTCATGCTTTGCAAGTATCAAAAAACCATTACAACTTTTACCAGTTTGAGACCAAAAAATAACCAAAAAAAAAAAACAAGTATAGAAAATGGATGGTATTTTGTGTTTACCATCTTTTTTATGTCAACCTGTCTCTGTCCACCTGTTTTCAGCCTTCACCATTTGGGAGAAAACTCTACTCATCGAAACACCTTCAAGATTGCTTACACTTCCCACATTGAATTGCGTTGTAGAAACACCAGTCTCAAGAGCAAGATCACCATTCAGATCAGGCCTCTTCTCATCATTTCCTTGAAGTTTAAGTGCACATTCCAAATTCCACAACACATCTCCCATTGTGGGTCGATCAATGCCACGTTCTGCCAAGCATTTCACAGCGGTTTCCCCAAACTTGCACAAAGAATCTGGATTTATCTTACCCATGAGACGAGGATCGGTTATTTTCTCCAATTCCCCTTTCTTTTCCCACTCCATTGCCCATTCAACTAAATTCACCATTTCCCTAGAAAGTGACGGATCAATAACAGGCCTCCCAGAAAGAACTTCCAACATAACAACCCCAAACGAATATATGTCTGATTTCTCCGTCAGCTGTTGCCTTGTCAGATACTCAGGATCAAGATACCCAAAACTTCCCCTCACGGCTGTACTAACATGTGTCTCATCAATCTCAGGACCGGCTTTTGAAATTCCAAAATCAGCAACTTTAGCCATGAGATTCTCATCCAGTAGAATGTTTGCTGACTTAACGTCACGATGAATAACTGCATTTGTAGAACCAGTGTGAAGATAGTGAAGTCCTCTGGCAGATCCAATACAAATTTCAAGTCTCTGTCTCCAACTCAAGCAAGGAACATCCAAGCCATAAAGATGGTCCTTGAGAGTCCCGTTTTCCATGTACTCGTAAATTATGATCAACTCATTTCGTTCATGACAAAACCCTATTAATGATACCAAGTGGCGGTGGCGGAACTGAGACAACATTTCGATTTCAGTCCGAAACTCAGCAAGACCTTGTTGAGATTGAGAGATTCCTCTCTTCACTGCCACCACTGTTTCATCCCTCAAAACTCCCTTGTAGACCTTCCCAAAACCACCAACCCCAATAACCAAACTTTCACTGAAATTATTAGTGGCCTCTTGAATTGCCACGAAAGGGAAGCGATACCCAATTTTTGAACTCGAAATAATTGCAGTTCCACTGGCATATTTATTTTCCATGGGTTCAGAAATTCCACCTCCATTGATTGCAAAATGGTCCTCTGTTGAATGGTCCACAGGTGATGATCTTCTTCTTCTTCTGCAAACAACAAACAAAACCAAAGCCGAAAACATAGCAATAAATAACACCCCAATGGCTATGCTTAAAATCACCCAAATTTTCTTCTTGGAATTTCCTTTAGAGTCCCTGACAGCGAGACTGCCCCTAGAATCGCTCAGCTTCATAATCTCTAGTCCATTGAGAATGATATTTGGGTAAGTATTACCCACATTTGAAGGGCTGATACTTACATTCAAGAAAACACTATAGCTTGAACTTGTGACAACATCCAAAACATATGGAGTACCCAAGATGTTTGATGTTAGAATACTAAGATCAAGATTCATAGCAACGAGCCAAGAGTTTATATAAACATTGAAGAAGAGCTGTCCTGGGGTTTTGCTCACTATATCGCAGAAATGAAACCGAACCAGATAGTCAAAACCGGGATCAACAGGAAAAAACCAGGTTACATTGACCAATGTACTGGGATCCAGTTGTGAGTTAAGCGTCGTGGCAGTGCCATAGACAAAAGAGGGAGCAACATTCCGAGTAGGCCACTTCATCGAGTAATTTACAGCTCCGATTTTTGATACAAAATTGACAAAATTAACATGGTTCAGATAAGTCTCATCAGAAACCCAAAATCGCCACAACGTATCATTCTGAGGGGATACTGTTTGATTACCCATATTCACCCTCGCAACTGTCTCTAATGCTCTTGTCAAAACAGATTGGTTCTTGACCAGAGGACCAATGGTTTTAGCACCATCGGGAATGAGTTCATCGGGGAGCGAAAGAATTTCTAAAGCATTTAGAAAGGCAAATGAATTGGCAAAAGGGGTGAAAGTTAGAACTAGATTATCTGAAGTTATGTTCAGAGAGTACTCTTTAACCACAGAACCATTTTGTGGTTGGAAATCTCTAAGTAGGGTGAAATCTTGGGCCAAAACAGAGAACTTTGCAGTGCTCAAATTGTAGTTCCCATCGACAAAAGGGAAGAAATACAATCGAATCCAGTGGCGCCCGTGTTTCTTGATTGCAAATGTGTAATGAGATGTTCCATAAAGAATTCTTGCAGTTTGATACAAGGCTAAATCAATGGTGGATGAGATGGGTTTTGATTTTGTGTTGACAAACGTATTTTGTGGAGTTGAAAGAACATCAGAATTCAAACCATCGGCTACGAAAACTCGATCACCCACTGGTGTTTTTGTGTGTGATCCACAGTCTATCAGGTAGTTATCTACAGGATCAAATTCTAAGGAAACATTTATCAAACACATGGTGGTTGATACCCAGATAAGCAATATCAAACCCATACCCATCATAACAAAGATTGAAGTGAAACAAACAACAATCCAATCTGAAGAACTATATGAAGAGACAAATCAAGAACACATGTATGGAATATAAAAGAATCACTTGTGACATCAATAGAGGATCAAGAGGAAGACAAGTGAATTTCTTTATCAAAGACCCAAATGGAAATTACAGAGATTTAGCTTCAAATCCCAAAGAAACAATTAACAAACACATGGTGGATGATACCCAGATAAGCAATTTTAGATTGAAGTGAAACAAACAACTATTCAATCTATATTAAGAGACAAATCAAGAACACATGTATAGACTAGAAAAGAGTCACCTTTGAGATCAATTGAACATCAAGTGAGGAAATTACAGAGAAATACAGAGAATTTCATATTGCAAAGAGTACTTTCTACAAGTTGATGAAAGGAAAAGGAACAAACAACGAAACCCATATCAATCAAGACAAGTTTTTGCCCTTATTGCAACGCTAACGATTTATGATTGACAATGACAACAGCTCAGATTTTTGTAATCTTTTTTCTTTTTTCTTTTTCAGTTGTTGACTATTCAGTAGTGGTGTGCCTTATTTGACAATTGATATTACTTTCAGAAAGCGACAAATTTGAGGTAGAAAAAGTAAAGAAGAGTGATTGAGGAGTTAGAAAGCAACAACCGTGTTTGCTTCCAATTTTTTGGATTTAGGGCTATTTTAAGAAGTTGGTTTTTAGTTAATTTTTTTTGATTTGTAGTAAAAGTTAAAAGTTAGTTTTTTTATCTTTTTTTTCATTTGAGAAGTTGGTTTTTAGCTTACGGTGAAATTACAATTTTATCTTCATGGGTCAAAATGTGTTACATAGGTAACGTTGTAAATATTTTAAATAAATTGGAGTAGTTTGGTTATTTTATTATGATTTGACATCATAAACAAACATTAATAAAAAAAGTCAAAAGTCACTTTTTACCAACTTTCCAAATCATTTGTCTAAAAAAGTCAAAAGTTTGGTTAAAAATCAAAAAGTCACTTTTTACCATCTTCTCAAAATAAGCCTTAAGCTTTTAGGAATTGAAATTTTTATTTTTTATATATATATTTTTTTAATATTTAGTGAATTTTTTTAAAATTTTAAATAATTTTTTAACTTTTTTAGATATACCTTACTTAGATGTATTTAAATAGTAAAATATTTTTAAAAATTAACAAATATAAAAAAATATACTGTAGTTATCATTTTGTCTAAGCACTTTTTATTTTATTTACAAATATTATATTTTTTAAGTATATTTATATTAAGTGTGTCTAAAAATTAAAAAAATTATTTAAAATATTAAAAAAATCATTAAAAAATACCCAAAAAAAATTCTAAAAACCAAAATGTTGAATGCTAAGGTCAATATCAGTATAATGGATAGATTGGGATTGAGGAAAACAGCTATGATCACGCAGGATTCCATTCTATAATTAAAAAATTTGTACACTATTGATTTGTCCTTATTTTAATTAAATATATGTATTAATTAGTATACTAATTAGTGTATCAACATTAGTTATGACATTATTATTGATCTCACTTATTAATTATATTACAAATATCAAAAACTTCTTAAATTATACATACTACAAATATCAAAAACTTCTTAAATTACACTACATCATCAATTTATACACTAATTAGTACACTAAATGGTACATATAACATTAATATGGTATTAAAATTTAGCAAAATGAAGGATAAGTTATATAATTTGAAGATATTCTTAAAATCAACCATTTTTTTAATCAAATTCAAATTTAAATTTTTTTTTTTAAAAAAAACCTTGTTTGGTGAAGTTTTGTAATCATAATTTCACTCATCCATTTGCACCCTCCATTTAGATAGAGTTTTGAAAATGTGATTCCACCACGTACTTCAAAACATATTTCTCTTTCACGTTTGGCATATTTCTCTCTTTCGTATTCTCTATTCTAAAAAGCAAAGTGGTTTTTGAATTTTGTATCTACTCAGTTATCCTTCTAGACGTTCGGTTGGTCGTCCAACCAGTTGACCGGAACTATGAATGGACGCGGGTCGATTGCGCCTACGGAACCTCAAATTCATCATCAGTCTGTCAGATTGGCAGATTTGAGAAAATTAATCCACATCCGTTCGTCAATCTGGCAGATGTGAATTGAGCGGATTGGCAAATTGGTAGATGGATGCGAATCAATTTAGCGACTTAAAATTTTAGAAATTTTCAACATAATTCAACTTATGCACTTCAAAAAAAAAAAGTACTACAGTCAATGACTTAAAAAAGTATTACAATCACCGCATGCCTCATCCAAAGAAATAAAATTTGAAATTTATAATATTACAATCACAGCATGCCTCATCCACATATTACAATCACAGTGTGCCTCATTCATATAAAGTATTACAATCTGTAATTCTTAAAATATAAAAACAATTCAAACCATTAAAACCATGAACAGAGCAATAATTGAGATTGTATGTCTCTGTATTGTTACATCTATATTTATTTTTAAAAACAAAAACCAACCAGCATATATCATCTTTTTTATTTATTATTTTTAGAGTTAGATCTAAAAATCAAAAAATATAGATAAATAATACCTTCTTTTTTTTCAATTCAAAAAATATATTCAAGTTCAAAACTCTTTTTCAGTAGAATATATTCAACAGAATATTTAAACTTTTTTCAATTGAAAATACAAACAAAATATCTGAACAAATTGAAAACACAAAGTCTTACAAATTACTAGGGGCGCTCACGGTTTGGCGGTTCAGTTGCTGCCAAAGAAACCTCAAATCCATCATCTGTCCAAAACTAGGCAAATTGAAAAAAATAAATCAGTAACCGTATGCTCGTCATCATGTATCCATCCAAAATGCAGCAGATTGCTTTGGTTCGGTCAATTTGGATAGATCGGTATATTCGATACTCACCACTAACAGGAACAGTGTATTTTTTTTTTTTTTTTGTTTTGCAATTGTCGATCGCCACATGTTGTTTGGAAAAAAAAAATATTTATTTATTTTTGATATTTTTTAAATATAATTTTTTTTTTTTTTACCAAAATGACAAACTATTTTTTTGAATTAAATGTTAAAAAGAGTTTGGTTATAAATTTTGAATAGAATTTACAATAGAGTTTGAAGTTATGCATTTGGTTATAAATTATAAAAACTCTTTTCAAAACTCAAAACTCATAACAAAAAAAAATTCTTAATTAATATGTCACATCAAAATTCAAAACTCATAACCAAACAAATTTTCTCTTTTTAAATCATAATTTCAAAACTCACAAATACAAAATATAATTTCATTCTCAAATCATAATTCTAAAACTCTACTAAACTCAACCTTCATTTCTTTCATCAGACCTGTACTTTGAAAGGTTATTTTATTATTATTAAATTTGAATTTTATATATAAAACAAATAGAGAGACGGAGTAAAACAACAAACCAAAATGCTTGGGACCCTCACTGGGGAGACCCCTGACTCCCAATGGGCGGTTATTGGCTAAATTTTTTTTTTTTTTGGTCTACAATCACTAACCTCCACATGTGTGGGAGGTAGTGGGAGTGGGAGATAGTAGAGGCCTGTATCATTATTGAAAAAACAAATCCATTTCTCACATCAAACCGTTATCCTATCTACCAACCAATCTATCTATCTATTTATATAAGTAAAAGGAAGATTTTTAATGAGAAAAATATATGAGAGCTCCAAGTGTTCAATTTAAATTTATTGATTTTTTAATTTTAAAAATTAATTAATAAATGACACACCCAAATACTTTCTTTTTTAAACAAAGAATGCATTTTTCATTCCTAAAATCATTTGTTCCTTATAATCAAACAAACAAGGAGTTTTTCAATTAAAAAATAATAATCAATAATCATACACTTAAGGAGTTTTTAAAGTGAAAAATAATAATTAATAAATTGCAAACTCAAACAATATTTCGTCGTAAAATATTTTAAATTCTTCACTATAAAGCATAAAATGATTTATATAATTAAAATTTCACAACATATTTTTTTTTTCTCACCATGGCAATTACTATTTAATTGATGTATCAAAACTCATTATTTTCATACACACTAAACTTTTATATATGTGTGTGTGTAGAGATTTACATATACTATGATTGAGTAATTTATATTTTTATATTTTTCAATTTTAAATAATCTATGTCTATAAAGCTCAGTTTGTTTAGAATGAAAAAGGTAGAAAAGTGAAGAAAGAGCAGAAAAGGGAAAGAGGAAAAAAAATTAATTTTTATGAGTTTGTTTAGCTTGAAAGTGTTGGAAAGTAAAAGAAACTAATTTTCTTGTACAACTCATATTAGCATTGTAACTAATTTTTAATTTATTGTAAAAAATACAAGAAAAATTGAATATGTGAGTTATTTATAAATAAACTTTTATTTTTTTTTTTTATATTTTTCTTACAAAATTTTCATCTTAATCAAATGTTTGTAAGAAAATATATTTTCTTTTCTATTTATTTTCTTTCACTTTCACTTTTTACTAAATTTTTTTTTAATCAAACAAAGCCTTAAGGTTCAAACTCTCAACTAATTTTTTTTAATTTTAATTTTTTTAATAATGAAATACCAAAACATTAGGATATTAACAAATATAATTTACTATTGTCATACGGTAAACTAAAATTACAAAACTTATAAAACGAAATGTATTTATAATTTATCATAAATATAACTTATGTAATTTATTATTTAATTTTTTTAATTAAATTATAAATGTATTTAATTGATTATAAATCATTTTCACTATATATTTGAGATAAATTTTATATTATTATTTAATTTAAAACAATAAATTTTGATCATTTATTTATACCCCCAATGTATTGTTTTGAGAAGTTAATTAAAAACAGACTTTTTAATTTTTTTTTAAAAAAAATATGTAAAAAAATAAAAAGGCGATATTATCCAAAATAAATTTAAAATCAAAATTTAATTTTTAACTTTTGAACTAAATTCTTAAATTAGGCCAATAAATAAAAGCAAATCTCCCGTCACCCAAGCCACTGGCTACGGCTACATCTGTCTGTGACGCCAGAAACGTTCAATGATAAGCAAATACATGATTAAAGGAGAAGTTATTTGGTGGTTTTGGCTACAAGGACATTGTGATCCAGCGTGATTGTGATTGGTAAAAATGTAAGAGTTAAATTTTATATTTAATGATTAAAAAACATTAAAAGAATTATAATGTACGGAAGTTGGTAAGAAGTTTGGACAGGTGACGCCTTTGGACCACCAAATATATATATATATATATTTTTTTTGATTAATGAGCCTATGAGTATATGCTCATCAATACCGCTCTATTTTTACATAGTTTTCAAACATAGCAGTTGGGTTGAACTATGGCCTAGATTTGTGTTCACAGTTAAGCTATGTTTGGTTTTCGTATTTTAGCTAAAAAGATATGAAAGATAAAATTAGTTACA